ATAAGAACGTATTAATTAATATTTAAATATTAAAATATATATATATATATATATATATAAAATACGAGAGAGTAATAGTCGGAATAAATTTGTCGAAATGCTGCGTAATGCTACGAGAAATATTATAACGAGGATATAGCAGCATTGTTTACATTGTTAAATTTATGATCACAATGACACGAAATGAAAACAAAATATAAAAAATATGAATAAAGAAAAATGAATAATAATAGATTATATTATATGTATAAGTAAGCGCGCGCGCGTATTATACATTGCAGGTTTACGTTGACGATAATAATAATCGGATAAGGGATTGCAAATGTGAAGATACACGTATAATACCTAATGCGTGTATGAAAAATTGTTGTTGAAATAAAATCGTAGGATAGAAAGAAGAACAAACAAAAAAAATGGTTAAAAAAAAACAAAAAGAAATATTTATATATATATAAACGAGTGGTGTGTACAATGGTGGTAGTAATGCTATCTCTCTTTCTCTCTTTATTTCTCGCTATAATCTCGGCAGGTAAAAATACGTCCATGAATTTAAAATAAATCCAAAAATCAGTGCACTAACGATCCAATTATGGTGGGGGCAGTATTTATAAAGTCGGCAATTTTTTATCCAGAGGTACCTCGTTTAGACAGAATGACGGGAAATAGAAAGAAACTAGACAAAGAGAAAACTCATTAGATTGTAGAAGCATGACAAATATTGAACGAGAAATAGTTTAACAGATTACGAACATTTTCCTTTATTCAATAAATATTTTCGATTTATAACTTAATGTTCTTATTATTATTATTATTATACTACGTAATCGCTTTCGCTAGTTGCAAAAGATGCATATTAAAGGTATTCTCCTATTTCTAAAGTCTTGTACTATATATACACATATATATATACATATATACACACACATTTACTCTATCTATCTTTTCTCTTGCGAAATGTAATTTCGTAGACGCGATCAAAGAAAAGGAGATTGAAACAAACAAACAAACAAAATAAATTGCCATAAAAATATGTGAAACGTTAAGAATTTAAGAATATACTGGAGGGGGGGGGAGTAGGAAGGGAGAAAAGAAGAAAAAGGAAATAATTTAATTTAAAAGAAAAAAAATGTTAGATTAAATAATAATGTATAAGTAAAATGTGTGTGTGTGTGTGTATAGTGTATTGAAACAGTTACATGTGGACATTATTCAAAGAAAATCGAAAATGATCGAGAATAATATATCTCGAACGTGTCTGAACATGTCTCAGCGTGTCGCGTATCAGTAAACGGAATAGGTGAAAGCTTGCTGGAACAAAAGTAATTCATGGAAGTAAGAAGAATCGTTGCGGAGTTAGGTAACGAGTCGGCATTAAAGTCACCGATAATGACCGTAGTGTCGAGATGCAAAGCTGCCAGTAAAAAAGTCATTCAGTTGGAATCTTTCGTAAAGAACTTTCGTTTAAATGGCCAACCTTAGATTTGCATCTTCCTAAATGTATGTATTTACACGTTCGTTTGCATACAAATACATAGAAATACATAGAAATATATATATAAATTTATATAATTGTATCTACATATATAATATATATATAAAATTGTCTACATGATATCCAATCCGATTAACAAAGACCGTAGTACGTATATATTATACATAGCAACGATATGAAGTGGTTTTTTTTTTTTTACGATATTGCAATGGAATACGCGAATGAATATTGCAAAAGAACTATAGAGAAAACTCGTCGGGGGAAAAACGAATAAACGAGGGAAACGTTTAAACGACACGAGATTTTTGAAGGTCTGGGAATAATAGAGAGGAAAAATGATGGAGACTGCGCGCGAAAGAGACGCGAATGAAAAGGGGATGAGATGGGAGAGACGGATATGTTCAAAGTAAGAAAGACAGGAGGATGAGAAGGTGGAAAAGAAAGAGGAGGAGGAGGAGGAGGAAAAAGGTAAGAATAAAAAAGGGGACCGGACACACATGTACATATATGTATAGGTATATAATACAAGATATTACTTATGTAGTTACACGAAACATGTACCGCGCGTGCTTGCCGATTCTCGCGTTTCTCTCTCTCTCTTTCTTTCTTTTGCTATCGTACACTTACCAAGGTGTAGCAGCAGCAGCAGCAGTAACAGCAATAGCACCGACGGCAACTTCGGAGAACGAAACCAGAATTGCCACAAGCGTCCTTTCCTTCCTTCTTGATACTGGACTCTCTCAACTCGTTCATAGGGCGGAGCGTTCCTCGCGTACAGTGCGTTCGCTCAGATATGAATCGCGCGCACCATTACGTGTCACAGGAGCGGCCCTCCGAATGCGTGTGTGATGGCTCTCCCTCGTGAAAACGAGGAGAGAAACAAAGAAACCGGGGAACTGGAAAGGAGTGAGATAGACCGAGCGATATATCTAAGGTGTATGGGTAGAGGGTGAATATGAGTGAGTACGAGCGAGACCGAGAACGACGTGTGCAAGAACGAGAGAGAGATGAAGAAATAAATAGGGAGAAAGAAATATCAAAAACACAAGGATGCGAACGGGAACGCGTTCCGCGTCGAACTGACGAGCCGCTCGTGACTCGCGTGAAGATACCGAGGACAACGACTTCCCCCACCACTCACTGCCTTCGACCCAGCTGTGCACTTTCTCCCCCACTCCTAACTATGTCTCTTCACCGCACGCACCGGTACTGCGCTTCATCCGTCTTCCCTCACCATTCCTACAATCGGCCGGCCACCCCACTCTGATATCGCCACCCCTCAGACGAGCTTATTCGACCCTCCTGTCTTTAACGAGCCTTCCTCTTCTATTTCACCCTACCTCTTTTTATCTTTTTATCTCTTTCTCTTCCCTTTGGTCATCTCTTTGTCAGCTACTCAACGCTCTTTGACCACTACCCCTCGCAAGTTAAGTTTACTCTCTTTCTCTTTCTCCTCCTCCTCCTCCTCCTACTCCTTCACCTCCGAGAAGGAAATTCCTATGGAGAGGGTTGCTTCATTTTCTTTCTGTCTATATACCTTACCTTCTTTCTCTTTCTCCAACATTTTTTTCACCTTTTCTTCTTCCTCTTATTTACTAGTATTCGATCGTATTCCTTTCCAACGCCATTCCTTCGGAAGTTCGATACGTTAAATTTTGTTCGATTAACCGTACTGTGGTTGGTGAATCTCTCCATGTTACGAAAGGACAGGAATATTTTTTGAAAAGAATATTTTTCTGGATTCGTCTAAATAACAAATAAAACATTTTCGACATTATTGTGATACAAAAAACAATATTTTCAGAGTTTTTAAATAACGCATTTTTGTGTGTTTATCAAGTGATTTTGATTTTTTTTATATACGTACCTATTAATATTATTTTTGTAGCAATTATTTTAAGTGTGATACAAATGTTAGATTCAATATATGATTTGTTGTGGATAGAAATAAAATAAGAAAAGTGAAATGTCCTGATGTACTTGTGCGATCTATTAACAAATCATTAACGAATTGAAAATAATACAAAACAGTGATACATTGTAGCCAATCAAATAAAATATAAATGAATAAAATATAATTCTTACTGCCAACACAGTTGAAACCTTGGTTGAAACTATTTGTTAATTCCTTCATCGATACGAAAAGGGGATTCGTTCTTTCGGAGGCTGTTCATTGGCCAATTGAAAAATATTCTCTGTTTTCATTGGCTGCAACATGAAGGAATTTATGTTGTTCTATCAATGTTACAAATTTTACCGCCAAATATAATTAATATTTTAACGCAAAATTAAAATATAATTATATTATATTTATCCCCTTTTTTTTCCTTATGTTGTTAAAATAAGAAATATATATAATTATTGTAGAGTTAATACCGTATCCGAAGTTTTAAGGTTAGATCAGATTGTTATGTCAAATTTATTGAGGTCACATTCTTGACAGGTGTCTGTAAAGATCAGTGGTTATTAAAAAAACAGTTTACTATGGTAATTACAAATATAAATTCCATACTATAACTAAAGAAAATGTAACAAAATTTACATATATATTTTTGATATCTTTTATTTCAGGCTCGTTACTTTCGAGAGGAAGATATTGATGGTATGTTCTTTGCATTTGATATTTTTACATTATTTATTGTATGTTAAAAATATGCTGTTTATATGTACATTATTTATACATATATTTATATATATATTTGTATATATATTATATTTAATATCTTGACATAAATGCTTATTTAATAATCCTGGCTTGTCTAATTACAGAATTCAGGGAATGTTTTTACTTATTTGCCCGCAATGGTCATATTCGTACCTTAGATGAATTGACCATCATTATGAGATCATTAGGCCTCAGTCCAACAATTGCAGAATTAAATAAATATCTTAAAGATAAAGGTTGGCTATTCCAATTATTTTTTCTTCTTTTTTATAATCAACGATTTTCATGTGTGACAAAGTATTAAATTTTCTTTTTATATACCTTAGGTGGAAAAATGTCATTCGCTGATTTTCTAGAAGCTATGCATTTACAAACAAGAGCGGAAGATCTTCCAAAAGAAGTAATAGAAGCTTTCCAAGCTGCGGATACTGCCCATACAGGTACTATACCTGCACGACAATTGGCTCACATGCTTCTTCACTGGGGAGAAAAATTAAGTAATAAAGAAGGTAAGTTTTTGCTAAGAAAAAATGTTTTGAGAATATATTCACTTACCAAAATTTTGATGCGAGTATTCTTTGCACCAAAGTTGAACAAATCTTTCGAGAAGCCAATGTATCCATCAACGGTAATGTCAAATATGAAGATTTTGTAAAAATTGCCTGTGCACCAGTACCTGACTACTATTAAATATTAATATTTGGATTATAAATCTTTTATATATATTCTGTTTGAAGGTATTTATTACTATTATAACTTGTAACATTTTTATATAACAATATACTTCTTAAAAGAACCTTTTCTAGGCTTAATATTGTCTAACTTCAATATCCTATATTTTTCATAAGGATTTAGACTAAAAAGTAAATATTGCTTAAAGCAAACCATTACTTTGAAATTAAATAAATTAGTACAAAATATTATACCTTATTATTATTACTTACTCAATTATCGATTGAATTATGCAGCTGAGATAAATGTTCGTATACAATATTTGATATATAATATTTACAATGACATCTATCTTTAACAAGTAAACTTATGATTATTAAATTCCATAGTGTAAAAAAGTATAGCAAAACATGTTTTTAATATTAGCCGCACGAAGAAAAAAAAAACATCACAATCGAGCCATACAATAAGTTTCGAAGTCTTTCTTGCTTTCTAAATTACTGTATATCGTTCTAATACTTTAATATGTTGCATAGTACGATTAAATGTAATCAATATAGAGAGCAATCGTAATTTGACGTTTTATAGAAAAATTGACTTTGATAGAATGTCAAATCATTTTTAAGATTAGTCATAGTTTTTATTTTGTGAAGTAGGAGGTGGCGAACCGTATAAAATAACGGCTGTGCTAACGATAGTCATTAAAAAGAAAATACCTAATAATATACGATCGCTAACTAAAGCGATTTGTTTCCATTCCAATTCCGTTCTTTCTTTTTTATCTTGTTCTGCTAAACGCCTCTCGTTTCTCTCAATAGTGGCATGCACTCTTGCCAAAATGCGAGTCCATTGAATTTCCAGATTAGAATCTTTTCCGAATTCTAAAATCATCAAACACGATAATACGATTATATACATCTAAAGAGGATTTAAAACTTCAAAAGAAATGAAAAAATTTACCAAGATTAGGACTGCTACTGTTACTATCCTGCTTTCTCTTAACGTGCTTAGGTGACGTCATTTGTTGATGAGGTAAATCAGTTTTACAATGTAATGGACAACTATTTACCTTTCTCGTTGATTCTGCAGATTCCTAATACAATTGTGACGATTTTGTAAATCCAATGAAGTTGTTTTCTTTTTATTTATTTATGTTTTTTCTTTTTTTTTTTTTTTAAGGTAAAAATATTTTAACGTTATGTAAATATGTATAAATACGTATATACGAAAATTTATATACGTAAAAAATATATTATATTCAATAAAAACTTAGTCACATTACCGACTTATTCTCTTCTTGAAAATTAAGAAACACTATTCTTGCCAGCTTGTGTAGAACTAACGATCTCACAACTTCGGGTACTCTCGTGCCACGATGATGTAAATTCAAAGTCAATACCGCTAATCCTGACGCGAACGACACGAGACAAATGCTTACTCCATAATAGAGACCTAAATAAGAAAAGCAAAGTATATAATGACGTTATTAAACACATATGCACATACGTGTATACATATATATATATATATATATTACTTAAATTATTAGTTACAAAGTAATATTGTTTTTTTTTTCTTTTACAATCTCACTCACAATCAGTGACACATCCTATCAAAACTAAAAGGATTATATTTTTAAAGAAAAAAAAAACAAAGATAAACATTCCGTTTTTTTTACTTTGATTCAGTTAAAACTTTAAATAGAAATAGAGGCTGCAGGGTATCGATAGAATTGTCATTATTTATTGTTTCAATATAAACGCCGTCCCAGTTGGTTTCCTCTGGTTCCACGCCAACGCATTCGAAACGTCACTGTACAAGCAGGGATTCTCAGTAATCATATTATTGGGAATGATCTTGATTGGCTTCTAGATTATTTCATATACACAATTTTAAATTACTTTATACGATATTATGCACATATATATAGAGTATCCCAAAAAGTGGCTTTACCGAATCAAACAATTGTAAATTTATTATTCAATGAAATCTCCATGTATACGATATTCTTGTTTCATAAAAATACTTTGGGATTTTCTTTTTCTCGGTATAAAGCGACTTTTGGGATATCCTGTAAATATACAGTACCGTTAAAATGAATTATTCAAACGATAGAAAATTGTATTGAAATTTTGTCGAGTTATTATTTCGTATGCAAAGCTTAGTTACCCCGTGTGATAATAAAATATTTTTGTGTTTTTTTTTTAAATAGAGTAATAATATAAAATTAATATAATATATATATATATATATATACTGACTGATCAATGGTGTTTTTTCCGTTGGTGGAAGAGTTTCACGTATTGTCATTAGAAAGACAGTCATCGAAAGAAGAGCCGAGATCCCAAGAGTGACTTTTTCTCCAGATTCCGAAGGTACATAGAATACCAGTAGAGCTGCACAAACATAAGACGAGTGATAAAAACTTTTGCTCCCGTGGCATTTTAACTGTGGAATATCGAATGAAAGGTTTTAGACGAATCCGCCTCTAACTTTAAAGATAAAAATCTTTTATGGGTAAAGGTGCAAAACGAAGTGAAAAAAAATAAAAAGAAATCTTTCGTTTCCTTTCCTTTAATTTTTTTCTTCTTCAAATTTTTCCTCTACAAAAATGTCCTCTATAAATTAGTCGAGTTGGAAATAATATTCGTTAATTGATAAAACAAATAATCGTAATAATAAAATAAAAATAATATATGATACAATTGAATAAATTAATATCGAACAATTCGATTGAGATAGATTTACAACGTACATATAAGCAATTTGTTTTATTTTATCTGAAATATTTTAAATTACGCGGAATAAAAAAGAAATGTACAAAACGTAATAAAAAAAAAAAAAAAAAAAAAAAAAAAAAATAAAAAAAAAAAAAAAAAAAAAAAAACAAATAGAACGTTTCGAAATAAATTATCCTCGCGTGGAAGAGAGACTTTAGGATAGTAAAAGACAAAAAAAAGAAAAGAAAAAGGAACAAAATATACAATATATCATTGTCATAACTCACCGATACCGTTGATAAGTATGCAAGGTAGGATAAGATTGAAGACATAAAACATGGATCGTCTTCTTAAGCGGATCTCATAAGTGATATCCGGGTAAGGTTCTGTACAACAAGAATAATATTCGACGTTTCGTCTGGCAGAAAAATCGACGAGATCGAATTCACCGTTTGCTTGATAATTACTTATGTCACCTTTTTTACTCTGTTCCTCTAATTCGATCTAAAACAAAAAAAGAAAAAAAAACAAAGAAGACAGAAAAGAAACATTAGTTTAAATAGTACTAAAAAAAAAAAAAAGAAGTAAAAGGATTAAAATTTATACCTTGGGTGGTTAATCTCTAGAGTTCGCTTTTTCAATCTTCATTTTTTTTTTAGTACTTTTTTTTTCCTTCACGTCCCCCCTCCCACTCCCGCCCCCCGCCCTCCGTTTAAATCTAATTATTAATTCGATCACACTTTGCCGTTAACGGGGGACCAGAGAATTATGCGTCGTGAAAAATGGCTTCAATTGAAGAAGATTGGAAAGTAGGATAGGAAAAGAAGAAGAAGAAGAAGAAGCAGTAGGGGGGGGGAGATGGTGGAAGAGGGTAAAGGAAAAGATGAGTTAAAAAGAGAGAGAGAGAAGGATAGTGGGGTGAAAAGAGGGGGGGGGGAGGAAGAGAGACCTCACCAATTGAGGAGGGAGTAAATCTGGGCTCGCATTGAATTCTTCTTCCATACAGGATTAAGCCCTTCGATCTGCCCGGAACCCTTTTCGACGACGTGCCGAACTAACATTTTCGATTTGCTCCTCTCAAATGATTTACCCGATCGTCCAGACATCGATCGAACCAACATTCATAGTTAACAAACTATACACAACACAAATGGGGTGTACTCATGTTTTTAAATCTGTTATATATATATATATATATATATATGATATACTTTAATTTAATATTAAATATATCAATTATGGGATTTGTGTGTGTCATTTTTAAAAGAAGTATCTTTCGAAGTATGATATTAATTTTTTTTTTTTTTCACGATATAAATGAAATATTTTTCTTTGTGTGTGTGTGTGTGTGTGTTTTTTTTTAATCGTTGTTACTAAATTATTATGATATGAGAAGAGAGGATAGGATAGAAATAGTTGAAGTAAAATTGACCCGTTTTAACAAACTAGTAAAAACTTTACATGCTGTTAAATTATACAATAGGTTCTTTGTCCTATGTAAGTTCTTTAACGACTATGTTGATTTTCCTTCGGAAAACTGTTAGTCAAAGTAAATTGAGAGTTTGCAAATGTAATTTAAGCTAACAAGATTGTGTTCCTTGATGATAAGATAAAAACATAGTATAGTCTTAAAGCTATTTAACAGTTATGTTAAAATATATATATATATATATATAAAGATCTATTTGTTCTTTTCTAATCGAATTTCAAGATCTACAGATCGCAGAAACCGTCTAGAAACGCAATGTGGATTTTTAAATACAAGATCGTAAATATTAACAACCCTTTTTTGGCAAGCTTCTTTTCCATGCATGATTAAAGTTAATTGCTCGGAAAAAAATCTGCAGGGACTGGACTCTACGTTCACGAATTTTTCTTCTCTTTCTTTCCTATCTTTATTCTCTCTCTCTCTTTTTCTTTTTTTTTTTTTCCTTGTTCCGTCGAACAATAAGTCGCTAAAGATGGTAGAAATTCACGGAAGAAATATTCCCAGCGTATTTCTTTGTTAAATAGTAATTCAACATTTTTCACAAATAAAACTAATACAATTTTATTTGATGCAGATTAAAATTAAAACGCCTTATACAATTTTTTATTTCTTTCTTTCTTTCGTTAATAAAGAAAAAAAAAAGAAACAAAATAGAAAGAAATTATTTCAAACATTACCAAAGCTGATAATTACGAAAATGTAGTAATAAGTCGAAGATAAATGAAAATTTGTGTATAATTAGAATAATATTCAATTGAAACGTATGTAAGAGCCAGTAATTATGTGAATAATCGAATAAGTTAAAAATCATATAAACAAAAGTCAGGTTCTTTACAAAATTTTTGTATTATTAAATTCGTTGATTATATTATAAAATATCTAAATAATATACCTGATATCCATCGTAAGTCCAAGATGCCCACTTCAATGCACACCTTTGCTCGTCGAAGGGAAAAAATTCAACATCGATATCGCAACTGCTACGAAAAATACCATGACTCAACCATACTACTTCCCCTGTATGATTGACAATCACATTTGTATTTATAATCGCTGAACTATACTGCGGATCTGCGCTGTACAAAAAAATATTTAATAATATATAGTTTTAAATTTCTCAGCGTGTTAAATCGTCCTTTCCTTTTTTGTTATTATTTTAATTTTATTATTATACATGTGTATCTTTTTCCTATCGTAACATACTTTACGATATTTCAAATTCGAATCAATTAAATATCACCATTCAAATAAATAGAAAAAGAAAAACAAATCTAAACATCTGCTTACTTGTTATAGAGTATAGTATCAGGCCTCCAAACACGATTGTATGGGACACGAATTACTTGAATTCCTGCAAATTCTGAGGTGTTCCATTTCAAATGGTGATCGGTCCAGACTTGTGTGACCCAACAATTGGTCGTTAATATTTGATTTTTTTCATCCTACCAATCGAAAAGATAAATTTTCATTACCGATTATCATTTATATATTTTTATACTATATATTCATAGTATATTAACCAGTTAATTGTATTTGACGACTAAGAAATAGATTATAATTCTTATTTCATTTTTTTTTTCTAATTGTCAAATTAAAAAGAATATTCACACGAGGATGATGAGATAAAAAATAAAATCTGATTAATATTTAATTAAAGTTTCGTTATATTAATTTGTCAATGTATTTTTATGTTAATTATTATAAATATATAAATAGCGTAGGTAGTAATATCATACCCACTACTCAACTCTTATATTTATGCATGTAAGTATATAGATATTCATTGTTCAGAGAATTTTCATGGTTGATCACTTACCACATCGATGATATGATGAAGAGCAAGACCAAAGACAACGGTCAAAGGTTCGGAGGAATTTTTAGCTGGTCTTACAGCAGCATCGTATCCATCCAACAAATGTTTTGTCAATTTGTATTCGTTTTCATCACAAAAACCTGAAACATTAGATCCAAATGTATTACAATTCGCTTTAATTAATTTAAATATAATAATATATTGTATATGTGTAAAAATACATTATACAGCAAAGCATTTTAAAAAGTTAGCAGCATCAAATATTAAGTAATTGTAAATTAAAATGTAATTCTTTGTATATATATATATAAAAAAAAGAAACAGGTACATTAATCTCATTAGCGTGCAATCTAATTTTCCATTTAATAAATGATTAATTAAATGACTATCACAGATTCGTTGTTAATTAATTTTCTTCGTGATTAAATGATCAATAATTGTTTCAATTGATTTTAATTAAATACTT